GGAGGGTTGAAGACGTGGAGCACGGGGCATATGTGAGGGGTGAAGTTATTCTGCACGATACTGTACGGGGATCTAGATGTTCTGTGTTTGTCAAAACCCGCAGAATGTACACCACCAGGAGCAAGCCTTCGTGTGAACTCTGAGCTTTAGTTAACAACAAAGCGTCAACACTCGTCCATCGACTGTGACAAACGTCCACACCTGATACGAAAGGCTGCTAACTGGGGAGACTCTGGGAGCAGCGGGTATTTGGGAACTCTGGACGACCAGCTCAGTTCCTCCATAAAACTAAAACTTCTCTAAAAAATAAAACCTATTAATTTTCAAAGGCTGGTGCAACTGAACGCTTTGTTACACACATGTTCTATCTCAACAACAGAAAAAAACATATCCTAAGTGAGGCTCAAGAGAGGCTAGGTGCTAGACTGCGAGGACCCCAAGCTGGGCCACAAGGAAGGACCCCAAGCTGAGCCATGAGGACCCCAAGCTGGGCCGCGAGGAAGGACCCCAAGCTGGAGCTGCTGGAGGGAGCCCAGACCCACCCAGGCAGGGGCAACATTGGCTAAGTCAGCTGGGTAAGACACAGAAAGGAACTTTTTTTTTGGACTTGAACTTAAGAATTCTGGACTTTGAATTCTAATTCATAATGACAAATTTTGATTTTGGAGTTTAACTTCTTTGGATCTCAACCTGCAAAGAAATTTCTTTTTTTTTTTAAGTTTTTTTAAAGTTTTATGTTATTTTGTGGGTGAAACAGCACAAGTACGGGAGGGGCAGAGAGAGAAGGAGAGAGACAGAATCCCAAGCAGGCTCTGCACCATCAGAGCAGGGCCCGATGGGGGCTCAAACTCATGAACTGTGAGATAATGACCCGAGCCAAAACCAAAAGTCGGACACTTACCCGACTGAGCCACCCAGGCACCCCAGGAAATTTAATTTTTGAACTAATTTCTCTCTGAGAAATTCATACGGTAAAGGAGTTTATATTCCAATCAGGACTTCTGTACGGAATCGCCTAAACAATATCCCTTTAACCTCACCGCAGAACCTCCAAGAGCTGCCCTAGAGAACGTGGCCAGATGGGGCTCAAAACAGGAAATGGAAGAGGAGACACGTTCTCGGGAACAGGTGCATGGGAGCCTTGAAATCAATGCACTATTCTGATCCAGCTCAGAGCCTTCTGGGGACATGAGCTCAACTGTCCACCAATGGTCCCGGGAGGATGGGCAAAGAGAAGGCAGTCGGTTCGGGAGAAGTGGTCCCAAGAAGGCTGGGAAACCCAGGGAGCTGAGAGAACAAAACCTGGGAATGTGGCAAAGGTCCTTTCCTGGCCCATGTGCTTCCAAGCAGAGGGACCTCCTGCGCCCACCCTCCGCCCAGTGCAGGCTCCTCCCCAGGCCAAGGACAGCTCATCAGCCGGAGGGTTTTGGAGAAGGAGCAGACCTGAGCTGCACCCCTTTCCCCTCTGTCTTTTCAGACTTGCCTGCAGGGAGAGAGGATGCCAGGGGCCTCAGACAAGCAGGGGGCGAGGGCTCTGCCCTGGGGTCCGCGGCTGGCGTCAGCTGTGCAGCTACCTCTGCCGGCAGCAAAGCCCATCGGATGGAGAGGACCACCAGCAAGACGCCCGGCTCTCGGACCCACCAACGCCAGCAACAGCTCTGACCCTCTCGACCGATTCTGACCTTGTGACCTCCCCCCACCCCCCGGCCCAGCAACTTGGCTGACCCTGTCTGCTGTTTTCTAAGCATTTATGCTTATTTTCAAATTTCTCTCCCTCCACTTTTTTTGGATTTGTTCTGGTTTTTCCCCAAACTTCATGAGTTGAACAATTAGATCAGCATTTTAAAAAATGCTTTCTTCTTTCCCAATACAAGCATTTAAAGCTGTAAATTTCCCCTGGGGCACCTGGGTGACTCAGTTGGTTAAGCATCCAACTTTGACTCCGATCATGGTCTCACGATTTGTGAGTTCAAGCCCCACATCAGGCTCTGCACTCTAAACATAGAGCATACTTCAGATCCTCTGTCTCCCTCTCCCTCTGCCCGCCTCTTGCTCGCTCTCTCTCTCGAAAATAAATATAAAAACATTTAAAAATAAGTAAATAAGTAAATAAAGTCATTTCTATTTTTATTTCTTCATTAACCTATGGAATAATTACAAATATATTTTAAAATTAAAAAAACAAAAAACCCGGCAGTTCAGAGCCTTTTTTGGGCGAGGGAATGGTTGATTTCTGATCTGCAGCGTTTCGGTCAGAGAATGCCACACCTTTAGATCGGATACTGAGTCTCCTGGTACAAGGTGATGCCTGCGTGATGGCCTAAAACATACACACATGTCTGTGAATGATCAGTTTCCATAAGTCTCAAAGTATGCTTGAAAAGAACACATATTCTCTAAACTGGTCCTGCAGGTTTTGTAAGATCATCTTTTCAGACTGTATTTTACAATTTCCCCCATTATTTTCTGCCTGATATGTCAACTCACTGACAGGTCGGTCCAATCTTCTGTGACTGCAGGTTTGTCAATTTCTGCATAAAGTCTATCAATTTTTCTTTTATATTTTGAGGCTATGTTTTCTGGAAGTTCAACAGATACAGAATTATTTATTTTCTTAGTGATTATTCCCTCGATTATATTTCATAGGTTTCTTTATCCCTAGCACCGCATTTGCCTTTTGCCTCTTTTGTCTGTGCTAATGTCGTTAAACTACCCTCATTTGATTAGCATTTTAACACATCGTTTTCCACCTACCCTTTCTACTTAAGAGACACAAGGTACCCAGCTCTGCCCCTTACCATGTGACTGACCATCAATAAAAACAACACTTTTGATCTGTTTTGATCTACTGCAGTTTAAATCCACTGGTTTATAATGATACCAGAAACAAACTTCGGCCCCACTCTCAAAGGATGCTAGGGAACTGGCTAATTATTGTGAAAATTAGTAAATAAAAGGGAAGAACTGAGCATTATTCTGCCTTTCCTACGTGAACTGTACCTCAGAAAGTTTCTCTTCATGGAGGCATTCCAGCTGACAAATGAAGAGGGGTTCCAGAAGGAGAATGCCACCACTTAAACCCTGAGCATAATTATCCGCCCATCAGCAACAGACCTAGTGGCCACTGACACGGCACAGACAGAAGCGACCGGGCCCTATGCAGCTGCCAGAGGTAGTGAATGCAACCCCGGCCCCGGAGAATTCCTGCCCAAAACAAAAACATGCCTCTGGCCACGCACATAGATCTCACTCCCAATGTACAGAAAAAACAGGGGACAGAGAGGGACATGCTAAATGTCATCACTGGGAAGCAAAACCCCAGTGCAGACTGAGGGGAGCTCCACGGGACAAGCAACGTGGCTACTTCAACAAACAAATCGGAAGCAGAGACTGGGGACGGCAGGGGGACCGCAGACGGACACAAGAGCGACGCCACTGCAACATCCAGGGAAACATACCTGAGAAAACCTTTAAAAATGTTATCATCCTCAAAAAAAAAAACAAAAACAAAAACAAAAACCCTTCTTCAACCTCAAAAAAAAAATGCATGAAGTTACTGGGAAAATGTTAACATCAGCTATTTGATGGCATCATGGGATTATTATTCATTTCAAGCAGGATATACTGAGTTTACAGTGTTCAGAAAGGACTCCTTAGTTTTTAGACACATGTAAGGAAATACTCGCGGATGAGATCAGACGACGTCTGGGGTTTGCTTCGAAGTGACCCTGGCTCGGGGAGGGGTCTGGGGTGGGGGCCCGCCGGCGGACACACTGGTTCCCTACACCGTTCCTTCCAATTCTGCACATGCTGGAAATGTTTCATCACGCGTCATTTGAAAATAATAGAACTTGCAGACAAGGCTCGGTGCCGGGCTTCTCACGCCCACCAGACGCACGAGCACTTACCAGCATCGGAGGAATCATCTCTGTCGGCAAGAACCAGGAGATGCAGCAGAGAACCGGGGAGCGTCCTGCCCGCCTCGTCCAGCCTGACCAGCTGCAGCCGCGGCGTTGTCACGGGCGGGAAACGGTAGAACTGGAAGGTGAAATACACGGTCTTTGGCCACGGCGCTGCCCGGCTGTCTTGGGACACTCTGAATCCAATAAGAGCCCAAATTAATCGAGCCTCCAGAGCAGAGAACCTGGGCTTTCAACAGCCCAGTGCCACAGGCCACACGCCGCCTCGTCCGCCCACCGGGCGGCTCCACCGGGAACTCGGGGAGCCCGCTGGACAGCAACCCACTTCAGCCCCAGCTGGAGAACCTGCCCACGTAGCCACACGAATACCGAAGAATTGACCAACACAACACATTCAATCACAGAAGACCAGGCAAAAGCAGGTTTGACCGCGTTCAGAAATGGCTGAGTGGGCGTCGTAGTAAGATGAAAATAAAAACAGACAGCGTCCCTTAGTCTGGTAAGATCTCAGCATGGAGGGTTCTCCCAGCTCAGAACCACACAGAAGTGTTTCTTCAACGCAAGGAAAGCGAGAGCCAGAAAGAGGAACACAGAACACTTAAGAACGTACCTGCTAAAGGCAAGAAACTGCAGTACTATTTCGTTGCCTTGTAGACAATCGGATTCTTCCTTCTGAGGGTTGAATTGCACGGGGTCTGCGGGATTTACAGTCTCGGCTGGTTGCTTATTGGCATCCAGAATCTCAGGAAAACCGGAGGCCTGCAGGAGCACCATCGAGGCCCGCGAGAGCTTACTTCCAGAGCTGAAACAGAAAGACCCCCGCAGCCGGCCTCCAGGAAAGAGACAGGGAGGGGCAGGACCTGTGGCCCCACCTCTGGGGACAGCCTGTTGTTCAGGGTCCGTCTTCACGGCACAGCACACACCGGGCCCTCCCACGGCCGCCCCTCACCTCCTGGCCTGGATGCCCGCGACAATCGGGACGTGCACCGGTGTGAAAGGCAGCTCCTGCAAGTGTTCGGCAACAGATGCTCCCAGGACCAAGGACGCCTGGCTCAGCTCGGCTTCCAGGTGACAGATCCTGCCCTCCAAAGGGAGCCCCTGCTGAGCAAAATGTGGGCCCGGGTGAGGCCAGCCAGGATCCCAGCCTGTAACAACCAAGGATGCTGGGGTGTGGGGGTTCGCGGACGAACCACCTCTGTCGGACTGCCAGCTTCAGCAAATGAAAACACAGGAGGCCCAGCTGCCTTTTAACATCAGGTAAACAATGAATAATCTCGGTATAATGTAAGTACGTCCCGTGAAATATCCACGACTGACTTATACTAAAAAGTCACCGTTTATCTGAAACTCGGGTTTATCTGGGCATCTCGTATTTTGTGTGAGTCGGGAAGCAACAAGAAAGGTAGCATCAATTTTATGAACAGGTACCGTGGGAGAGATGTGCTGTCTGAGAAGCTCAATTAACATAAAAACCGCATTTATAGACCAGAAAAACAAGCCCTCCTTCAAACCGCAAGACGCACTGGTCCCCAGCCCCCGGCTGGCGCGTGCAGACCTTCCTCTCATCCCATGTCACTGGGGTATTCTAGTCATCCCCTTGTATCCCACCTCCCACGTCCCTCCAGAGTAGAAGGCATGTCTAAATGAAGAGCTTGTCTGGGGACCGGAATACTCTCCTTCGAGCCTGCTTCCCCAGCTTTCCGTTCCAGCTGAAAGGAACACCACAGAACCAGGGAGGACTCTCACACATCTCAGCTGTCAACACTAAGAGATTCAGGCTTTTCATAAACACACGAGCCCCCGGACAGACTTTAGACCAAGGCATTTCACGGTCCTGGGCGTGTTCTCAAATAGATAAGGGAACGGCACTACTTTTCCTCAACAGACTCCCAGTATAGGACTGAAGATGCGGTTTACAGGAGCGCCAGCCAGCTTTTGGAATCAGACTTCACGTGCGCTCCCCAAGGTCAGCGGCAGCACAGGCCTGTCTGAGCCCAGAACGCACCAGAATCCAGGACGGCGGGTTCGGCTGCTTCTCCTTCAGCTGCTGACAGCGAGGAGAGTGTCCCTGAGTGCTGCAGGCTTGGGTCGGCCTCTATTTCTACCTCTGGCAAAACTGTCCTTCTCTTTCAGGCACAGAGACCTGAGGGTGGTCTAGCTCTGTCTGGTCAGGTGGAGCAAAAGCCTGATTAAGCCCTGTGGCAGGAAGAGCTCCCACACCTAATGCTTCTTGGTCAGCAGGACAGAACGGCAGCAAATACCGGAAGCAAGAACTGTTAAGCCATGTCCACACACACACCCTCCCCCTCCCCTCCACCCCTCAAACACCACCCCCCCGTCCCGTGACCGTCACCGTGCCCGTATCACGGAGAGCCCATGAGGGTCTCGGCCGCCTCACAAGGCCCGGCACAGCTCGCAAAGCCAGAGGCCTCCCAGCAGAAGTCAGGGTTGGGAGCCACTCCCTGGAGGAAGGAAGGAGGCGTGCCGCTTCCTGGGCCGGGGAGGGCTCAGAGCCGGCAGGTTGGGGGCGACCTGGTGTGGCCAGGCAGCACGAGGCTGACGGACCGTGGGGAAGCCGCCAGCTGGGAGAGAGACAGCTGAAGGGGAGGCTGATGGGCCGAGGCGTGAGGCACCCCGTCACGATCTGGCCCCCACTGCACAGCACAGACCAGTAAGCCTTGTGTAGAGGGGCAGTCAGAATCTTGTCTCGTGCTCAGTCAGTAACTCTGGGAGCCAGACTGGCTCTGACTTCCTTCAGACAGGCCTTTTCAAGGTAGGTGCCCTCTCCCAGATGTGCAGCACAAAGAAATCTTACTAACACAAAAGAGCAAGTGGAGAAAGGGAGGGCCGGGGAAGCCAGGGTCTCTGCCACTCGCGGGCTGCAGGGCGGGCTGGTCTCTGAGCCTGGCGGGGTTTCGCTTCTAGCCGGGGACTGAACATCTCGAGACCCTTCGAGTCCCAGCACCTGTGCTCCCGTGACATGAGCCTGGCACGAGGGCAACGACTGCCATGGCGGCCCAGGCGGGCTCTGGAGACAGACCGCTGGGATGGAGTCCCCACATCATCACCAGGATCACGCGACCGTGGGCAGGTCACCAAACACCTTTTTTTTTCCCCCTCGGTGTCCTGTCTGTACGACGAAGAGAGCACCTAAATCACAGGGCCAGCCGGGAATGAAGCGAGAACCCGCAGGGAGGGGGTGGCAGGGAACCCAGCACGTGGCTAGCCTTCCGTAAACATCACAGGCGTTCGGAAGCTGAGTGCGGCTGTCAAGGGGGCCCACCGTCCACTGGAGACCCCTCTCTCAAATCCCGGACTCTGTCACGCACAGCCACAGCCGGCTCGAGGAGGTGCTCGTGCAGAAGGACTCGACACATGAAGAGGTGGTAAGGGCATCCGACCGAGTGGGGGCGTGTGGCAACAGGGGACCCCAGAGCCCTCGAGGGGGCAGAGGAGAGCTGCAGGGTCTGTTCAGCTCCCCTCAGACCCCACAAGCTGTCTTGAGCCTCTCCTGCCTCTGGCTGCAGACAGCGCTGTCCTGTGAGTCCCGAACATTTAGGGTGACATGGAAACTTCTGGAAGGAAAGTGCTTGAACAGGCCAGCAGGGAAGCCTGGGAGGCTGTCCCCACACACGTGTCTTCTGGCAAATACAATGCTCACTACTGAGCCAGTTTACAAGCTGCTTCTGTGGGGACAGTCTGATACCGAATTATTCGACTTTTCTAGGAAGTCAGTTCCTAGGGTGCTGCTGGCAGACGACGTTGGCTGGAAGACAAGCCAACCCTGGCCCTGTACAAAATGGCGCAGCTGGAACCGCGGGCGAGCACCACAACCACTCGGGTTTCCAGAGGCCAGAGCAAGGCAGGGCCTTCTCTTCCTACGCAGGAAACCCTCAAACGCAGAGCCATCTGCTGGGCGGTCTCTGCCGGCCGCAGCCTGTCTCCACCAGCACCAGCTGCTCAGCCGCTGGGCCTGGCTGGTGCCCCAGGCGGCCATGACCTCACTGGCCAGGACACTGGTCACTGCCAGGCCCCCTCTCCTGGCAGAGACGGTGGGGAGGAAGGAGATGAAGACCATACTATGGAGCCTCAGAAAAGCAACCAAGGCTGTTTGGTCCCGAGAGACTCTCAGCCGCTAGACATAACTGCCGGGGAGAAGACGTCATTTCTCAAAAGTATTGAAATGTGCCTTTGATGGCTGACCGCAGGATCACTAATAACACTGGTGGCCGCCGGATGCACGGAGAGCCGCGCAGCCAGGAGGGTGGGGGCACAGCGGGGGCAGGGCAGGGACGGGATGCAGCACCTCGGCCCCCCCCCTTCCCCAGCCCCAGCCCACCAGGCGGGACACCACTGTCCTTCAAGACACAGAGAAATGTAGCTGGAACCTTCGGGTAACTGAATTTGTAATTCTGAAACAGGCCTCTCGGGCCTGGACTTACCCCTGGTCCCACGGGCGAGTCCTGGGGGGCAGCGTGTCCCCGGGCTGGCAGCGCTGGTGGGCCTGGGGGGGAAACAGATGGAGGTGGGGAGGGAGCCCGAGTCAGCCAGGACCTGCCCCGTCTGCCCCCTGGCTGTGACCGGTGCTGCCCGAGGTGCCAGGCAGCAGCTACTGGGCAGAGTCCGGGGGCCCAGCACTTTGGAGCAGACTTGGCCTGGGCAAGAGTGAGGATCGCTCTGCGGGTGACAGCAGAGGATGGAGCCTGAGCCAGGTGTGCTGGGGCTCCAGCTTCTCTGCCTGGCCTCGCGCTCTCCGATCGTGTGGTCTCACCAAGGGTGGGCTTCGTGACCGTGAAAGTCCTTGCGTGCCTGCCCAGGGTATTTCCATCTTCCCGCCGCTCACACACACCTGACTTCAAAGAGCTGGGGTCCCGTGTCGGCGGGCCTGGCATCTCCCCAGCTGGGGTGGACTTGACGTCAGGTAAGGAACTTCTAAACACCCCACTTTCCGTCTCCCAGCCCTGCTGATGCCCGCTCACTCCAGGTGCGGACGTGATGAGACCGGGAGGGGTAGAGGCCCCCAGAGCAAGGGGCCACGTGTGTCCTTTGACCTCAGGGATGCCAAGGCAGGCTCCCACAGGCTCCAACCTGCATCCACCTCGGAGTCCAGAGGGCACCCCCGTCAGTGGCCTGCCTGCCCCTTGCTAACAGGCCAAGGCAGGTGCTTCCCAGGAACTTAGAAACACTTGAGTCCCAGAAACTTCAGTGCCCCAAACTAGCTCGTGGCAAGTCACTGATCAAGCTGTGCCTCCGGGGAAAGGTGTCACCTCGCCAGAAGCAAATGCACATGAGGATTCGGCCAGCCAGGGGACCTCCGCTCCATTTCAGCCACCCTCCTCCCCGAAACTGTCCAGCCACCGAGTCTTGCTTTTGTCCCACCCGGAACGGGGACCCTGGGAAGCCCCACAGCCTGACTTTGGCAACAAGCATAAAACTGCAGGAAACGCCTCCGTGGCCCTCCACTAAGAAAAACCGGAGCCTGGTGTCCAAGACCCCCTCCACACACCCTTGTTCACCCACCTTCTCAAAGCTGGGTGCTGTGCGCTACGTTCCTTGAGGTAAGTCTTTACATTGGGACTTATGCAATCTTATCTTCCTAGAGAATAAATCAGCACAAGGAAGACTTTGGAGGCAGATTAAAAAGATGCCTGCCGGTGACCCCAGGGCCGGGACGCCCGGGGGGCAGGGCCTGGGCGAAAACACACCAAAACCACAAAACATCCCGGCTCCAGCTTTTTGTTCCAACGCTCTGGGCGGTAATCGGTGATCGCTGGCCATGTTGCTTCCCAAACAAGACCACCTACCAGCCACAGCCAGAGAACGTGTCCTCCGGAGCGTGGCCACTTCAGTGCCTCCAAGAGGCTCCCTGAGGCCACAAGGCCGGACCCAGGATGGGAGGCCTGAGCTCCAGCACAGGGCACAGCTGGGCCGGGAGCCACCGGGCAGCACGTGTGTGGTGACGGCACATCAGAAAGAGCCACGTGCACACAACACGGACACACGGAGGGAAGAGCGGCCGTGGTCACGTGTGCGGCCTGGTAACAACTGGGGCGGGGGGAGGTCCTGATGTGGAAAGGGGACCAAGAGAGGTCATGGCGTGGGAAAAGCCAGTCCCCAAACAACCTGTATATGTCATCTCATCCACATTCAAGGGGGAAAAGTTGGAAAAGAGCGCCGTGGATGCAGGAGCGTAGATAAGCCCACTGAAATCCAAGCAACGGGGTGCGAGGGCGAAGGGCTATCACCTCCCCCTTGATGCGCCAGGGTAAGTGTGCACATTCACGGGTCGGTGGTGAAATTACAAAGAACTTCGGGGCGCCTGGGTGGCTCAGCTGGTTAGGCGTCCAACTCTTGGTTTCAGCTCAGGTCATGATTTCACGGTTTGTCCCCCGCACGCGCCCCTTCCGGGAGCAGCACCAGCATCTGGCTGAGCAGCCACAGGGCTCTGGTCTCCTGAAGAACACGGAAATGCCGAGAGGACCAGCAGCCCGACACGCGCTCTGGGCAGCTCAGGGGCCACGCAGCCTGGGAAGCCACGTGCACCTAGGCCTTGGAGGTGGCACAGAGGACAGTGGGAAGGGCCTACCCAGGTGGTTCCCCCGCCACCGGGGCTGAGTGCTGTGCGGACAGCATCCCCACCGACCGCCCGAGACAGAGGACAGCAGGTCGGCCACCTGAGTGAAGATGCATCTCCCCGACACCTTGCCACCCACTGGTTAGCCTCCACTTGCTGAAAACCACCGTCAACAGAAGCTCCCCATCCAAGCCGCCCTCTGTCAGTTTGGCTTCTAGAAGCCCAAACTGTGGACACAGACCCCTAGGTCACGCAAAGACCTATGTCCCGGCACCTCCTCTGCCTGGGGGACGCGTGTGCAGGATCACGCAAATCTGAAACGTCAACGCTCCACAGACCGGGCCTTTGGTGAGGGGACTGGGCAGGGGTCACAGAGAGTTAGGCAAACAAGTGCACGGGTCAATGGAAGACCAGGCGTTCGTGGAGGCTTCCTCCAGGCTGGAGGGAGCAGAGGCCTCTCCGGAAATGCTGGGGGGCCCACAGCACAACCACCTCCCTGCCCGTCCCCAACCAGGGGCCAGCCCCGTACAGCAGGTACCACCAAAGCCCTTTGTCCCAAAATGAAAGCTGTCTTCCGGGAATGCTTTTCTTAAACACCGCTGTGCGTTCTGGGGGGAAACTGAGGGAAGGAGTCAGCAGGCGGGCCGAATGAGGGGTGTTCACAGAGGAAAATGCTGTACGGGGGAACAAACCCACCTATGTCCAGCTGAGGGGTCAGTCATTGACTAGCTCAGGTCTCGGACCGGGAGGTGGGGGTGGAGGGTCTGGCAACATTACAGGATTAGAACAGCAGACACCAAAAGCATGGCCAAGGAAGGGTCAACACTGCTAAAGACAGCGTCACCGTGATTTAAAGAAAGACCTGGAGAAACAGATTTCCTCACTGGGCCTTGAAAATAAAGGATAATAATCAGTATCTGATGGTTATTCAGACACCAAGAATTCATACGGCAAACCCATTTGAAAGGCCCTCATTCCTAATTATTTGGGGGTAAACAGCCATCCTCCCTGAGACTCTAACCACAGGAAATGGGGACAATGAACAAACCGCAGAGATTAGGGACAGCCAGCTCAGAGATGGCGTGGCTATGGGGCTTGGTGCTGCACCCAGGGTGCATGAGGGTGGCCGAGGGGCTCCTGCACACCGGATGCCTGGGGAGGCCCAGCACACCTGGGGGTGCTGCGGGGGAGGGGCTGGGGCTGTCCACAGCTGCACAAGCCCCCCTCCACCCCCCGCCGCAGCCACCGCCATTGCTCAGGCAGGCCGGGCAGTCAGGGACAGAGAGGGACACGCATCCCGAGCACACCCGGGGGTCCTAGGGTCCTGCCTGCGCCAGCAGCTGCCACAATGCTGCTAAGTTAGGGCCCAGGGTCCAACATGCACCTGAGCACCTGGGAAGCGGCTCCGCACCTGCGGGAGCAGCCGGGCTCTTTGTGCGAGAGATGCGTGCACCTGGTAGAGATGCCCCAACCCAGATGTCCCCTAAGCACAGAGGACACGGGAGAACATGCATGCTCCAAGGGCTGACGAGGGGGTGTCACCACAAAGGTGTCACGTCTAATGTCTGTCCATCCTGCTGCTGGAGGTGCACGAGTGCCCCAACCAGGCCCCAGAGGAGTGGGGAGAGCCAAGGGGTGCCCAGAGCCTGAGGCCGGGGTCAGCATCAGGGGCTGGCCACTGCAGGGACCTGCCCCTTGCCAAGGCCTCTGCTCTGGGCCACCCGCTAACGTCCTCCCCCAGAGCGCACACCTGGGATCCCTTGAAATCTGCTGGCTCACGTCACTCCAGCTGGACAGCTCAAACGCCCCTTCCTGAATAACTGCCCTGATGACACAACCCAGGGCAGGGAGCCGCCTGTCGGAGAGGACGTCCCTGCAGTGCCAACACACAAAGGGTCACAACCATGGCAAGAACCCAACCCAGGGTATCCTGGGAAACACCATGAGGACAGGTTTCCCACGACCCCTTCTACCCGGCTGTTTTTCAAATCCGTGAAGCGAACACACGGACATTCTGAGACCGCCAGAACATTCAAAAGTAAAATATGGGTCAGGGAAATTCCAAGTTCCAAAAACCAAGAGCGAGTGCCCTCTAGTGGCTCCGTGCACTCGTTCCCGGACGGTGATGAGTGGGCCTCTGCTCCCTCGTAATTCTCCAGAGGACATAAAAAAGATAATTCATAACAGAGAGCCAAAGTCCCTCACTTAACGTGACAGCCGCGTGGCGTCAAGATTTCCCACAGAACCGGGTAAGTTGGTAAAATATCGGAGGAGGAAAGGTTTCCATCACCGCTTAAGCACGAGAGATATTTAAGTCTCTTGCGTCGGGTCCTGGGAGGCCAGGCCTTCAAATGCTTGGAATCTGGGATGAAGGCAATCCTCTCAATGTGACGTGAATGCAGCGATAAATCCCAATTAAATAAACCAAATGCAATCAGGTTCCATCCGGGCGGACCTGCTGGTCCCCAGATGGTGGTGGAGAATGGATGGCACTGCCACCACACGTCTGTACTAGGTCTGGATCCTTCCAGCATCTGTCTGCCATGATGTGAACCATAACTCTCCTAGTAAAGAACTCAGAGGGCGCGAACCCTGCATGCCCAACTAGGGCTCGGTGAGCCCCGCACGGGGAGCACACACCCCCAGCCAGTCATCCAGAGAGATGTCCGTCCCACTGACTAACATGATCATCTCGAGCCCAAAGCCAGTGGCGTCTGTGGGGAGGGAGGATCCCCTTACCCCTGAACCTCCATAACATGCCTGGAGCCCAGGAGTGTCTGGCTTCCCATGGGCACTGCTCTGTGCCTGGCTACATGCGGAGAGCTGGAGAGACTGGGGTCCGAGGGACAGGCCAGCTCCCTCCGGTCTCCATCCTCTCATGGCACAACAGGGGCAGGACTGCTGATATCTGTTCATTCGAACATCTCAAAACGCAGGCAAAGCTGGCCCAAGCTGGGAGGCCGCCCCACAGCAGAAGTGGCAGAGTGCAGGGACCAAGCGGGGACTTGGGTCCGTGGGTGACACGTCTGCCGGCCCCACCCTGACTCCACACTCTCTTCCGAGAGCAGCACCGATGGCTGCCAGTCGGGAACCATGCGGACAAAGGCAGGGGACGCAGCAGGGGCCCCGGTCAGGACTTCTATGGAGCGTGTGAACGGAGGTTCTTTCTGCTGGGATTCCCCAGAGCTTCCGGGGTCACTACGTGGAGAAACTCTTCCCGGAAGGAAGCCAACAGCAAGAGAGCTCAGGGGCGAGGGGATGAGGTGTGGGAGGCAGACAGACAGACGGACATCACTCGAGAGCCAGAACACAGCCAGGTCTCACATCAGCTCTGCAAACGTGTGCTGAGTGCTTTACTGGGCAAGACACAGAGGAGGACACGCAGCCCCTCGCATGAGATGTTCCCAGGACGTCTTCGGCATCGAACAAACGCCCACACCGACGATCTGCACCTCTTCAGCAGAGTGATGCTCCTCCCCCCGCCCCCCAAGTACCCACATCCTAGTCCCCAGAGCCCATCACTGTGATGCTCCACGGCAAGGAATCATGGCCGCTGATCGGGGAGACCATCCTGGATGACCGGGTAGGCCCGACGCCATCACAGCAGGCCTTGTTGGTGACAGGGTGACACGGAGCGGCATCTGTCAGGAGCACAGACAAGGGCTAAGCTCCCCTCTGCGGGCCGACACATTTGTTCATTCCCAGCTTTCTAAGAGACGAGCCTCCTGTGATCTAGAACATTCTTTCAGCGGGCATGACCTCTAGAAGCCCCAGGCTGGGGCTCAATGCCCTGCAGAGTGAACTTCCCTCTGACATCAGCCCTGCTCTCCACCACTGGTGCGGTTCTCGGTCAGACGCTGCCCTGGGCGTCCCTAGGCAGAAGCCAAGAGGCCCCGACCACCAGGTGCTGGGCCGGCCGGACACAAGGCCGGCAGCCGCGGTCACTGCTTCACCACCTGCACACGTGCAGACACGTCCCCGCCCACGGGAAGGACGCTGCTCTGCTGGTAGCCCTCACTCCCTTCCTCACAGGCCCGAGCTGAGAGCAGACGCCCCACTCTCGGACTTGAAGCGGGTAGGAAGCGCCTCGTCAGAAGGGCAAACCCACGACACGCTAACAGCGCAACGCAGAGGCGCACCCATGGCACTCAGCGCGGCTCCGGCTCTTGGGCCCGCGTCCGCAGGACCCCCGTGCCAAGGGCCCCGTTACTCGTCACCGGCACAGCCTTCCGCGGGCTTCTGGTCAGGGAGCTCCGGGTGACAGGTGACACCGCGCCAGGCCACCCCTGTCACCGTCCAATCCTACACCTCCACATCAAGCAGAAGCTCAGCCCACTGGCTCAAATGACAGCAATCTGTGACGATTCACGGATGAACGTTATTGTACCGGCCCAAGTACGTCTCCTCGAGAACAGGCGGGAGTCACGCTGTGTGCTCCAAAATCAGTGCCCTGCAAACACTTACTTGCAGGGGACGCGGGTGGCTTCCTGGAGGGCTGTTGCTCTGCCTCCGGGCCGTGGCCGTGCCCTGGCAGCGTGTCCAGGTGTCCCTTGGGGCTCAGCGAGTACTGGAACTGGACCGTCCCCGACGTCACCTGCTCCACCTGCGAGGGGAGAGCAAACAGCAGCCGCCTCCCTTAGTCGTGCCTTCGTGTCGAATCGACCCGGGAGCGAGCCCCCCTTCCTGTCACCTTGACCCGGGAGCGAGCCCCCCTTCCTGTCACCTTGACCCGGGAGCGAGCCCCCCGGCCCGAAGTCTGCGTAAAACCAGCGATGTCTGAAGCCACATGGTCTGAGGTTATAATCGAGTCACTTGCCAAGCAGAAAAAGATCAGCGTCCAGCAGCATTCAAATCCCAGACGCCCACACGAGCACAGAATGGCCCCTACACAAGTAGAAATCACACCTCCCCAGTTTCTAATGTGTTTTTTAACGAATCTATGCAAAGCCGACCTTTTAAATTTTGGTGCATAGTGTGAGTGCCACAGTCAGTTCTCAAGGTCTTTGGTATGCTGTTCAGGGTCAGACTCGGGCACATGCACCTGAGGGTTAACCCGGCATTTCTTAAGCAACGTTAGGGGCTTGCTTTCCAAGCCCCTCCCTCTTCATGGCCCCCCCATCCGTACTGCCCAGTCCCCTTTACCATCCTCTAGGCCAGACCTCACTGTGCTGCACACTTCTGGCAAGAAATAGTCCCTGAATCCGAGGCCACAAAGTGGGAGGACAGAGTGGTTTCTTTAAACAGTGCGGGAGTGCATCAAAGAGCTAACGTTCTCATCTGTCATTACTGGAGGTCAATATATAACGTCTAAAATTAATCAACTAAGAAATAGAAGTAGAAGCATTAATATTTGGAAACAAAGTAAATGCCAGAAGTCACCACTAAGAGTTGGAAGTGGCCGCCTCTGGAGATGGACATTTTTTTTAAAAGACAGTAATTTGCTCATAGGAAAACTACAAGAGTTGTTTAGGAAAGAAAACATAATCATAACATACTGTTCTTACCTTCACAGTAAATAACACTGAAATAATCATAACAGAAGCCCTCAGATTTACTTAGTCCAAAACTATGGAATGTTTACAATCTTTGTATTTTCCTCCAAGTAACATCTGCCACTTCCCCTTAACTGTAAGCTCACGGGATCAGGGATAGTTTCCAAGAATGTATACAGGTGCTCAATAGCAGTTCACTGAATGGGGGCGCCTGGGTAACTCAGTCAGTTGAGTGTCCGATTCTCAGTTTTGGTTCAGGTCACGATCACACAGTTCGTGAGTTCAAGCCCCACATCGGACTCTGTGCTGACAGTGCAGAGCCTGGTTGGGATTCTCTCTCTCTCTCTCTCTCTCTCTCTCTCTGCCCCTCCCCTGCTCACACACACCCTCTCTCTCTCTCTCTCTCAAAATAAGCAAATTTTTAAAA